AAAAGGTTTTTTGTTCTTCTGAGGTTTTGTTTTCTTTTTCCGGTAGGGGGTGTCTTTTTATATATTTTTACTTTAAAATTGATTTTTCATGGCTCTGACTTAATTGTAAAGACTTTCTTTTGAACTTCAGAAGAACTGATACAAGGTATCATGGTTAATTTATTAATTTTGGAAGTAAATACTAGCTGTATTTTAACTGGTCCCCATCAGGCCTGTCTCAAGGCATGGCTCCCACTGGAGAAAAATCTTCCCTAGTTCTGAAGTGCTAACAGCCTCAAGACTCTGAGTAGACATTTGCAGTGAAGACAGTATTCTATGAGAGTAGGACTGAGGGCTGACAGCTCATATTGTACAGGATGGTAACATACCTGAGCTGGGCATGTGTTCAGACAGAATGAGAGCTGTCAGTCACAGTCTTCGTCTCCCTCCTCCTAGCTGGAAAACAGGCTTGGAGGAGAAGAGGAGTTCCAGCAGCGGGTAACGCAGCACCTAATACCCTGCATCGCACAGTTCTCAGTGGCCGTGGCAGACGACTCTCTGTGGAAACCACTGAACTACCAGATTCTGCTGAAGACCAGAGACTCCTCACCTAAGGTAGGAAGCTGCATGGTCCCCAGCCACCGAAGCCACCTACACGTGGTTGTGGATGCAGGCTCTGGGTGCAAAAGGAGGGAATATCTTTGCCTCCTGTCCTCTAGTACTACAGGTCTGGTCTTCTGTGTTGGGTGAAATTCAGCCTAAGAATTTTTACTTTTACTTACAGACTTTATAACTAATACCTCCAGGCTGGGGAGATGGCTCAGTGGAATAAGTGCTTCTCTGGCAAACACAAGGGTCTGAGTTCAATGCCCGGTTCCACAAAAATAAATAAATACACACACACACACACACACACACACACACACACACACACACACATATATATATATATAGAGAGAGAGAGAGAGAGAGAGAGAGAGAGAGAGAGAGAGATCTAGAGATCTAGAGATCTAGAGATCTAGATATATATCTGTATATATCTAATACCTCCTCATCCCAGTGATGTGACAGGTACAAACATTGAGGTAACTTTCTAAATACTTTCAGATCTTGAATAGCAATAACTTGAAATAATTCCTGGAGGTTTTAAAAGTGCCATTTAAATGTCATTGTGCTTCTTAGACAACTGCTTTGTCCGCAGAACACTCCCATGAGGTAAAGCAATGTAGCCTTTGTACACATTAAGCTTCTGATTTTGTTAAGTGGTGGCTGCAGAAATACAATGACATGGGTAGTTTGAATGGAGACCGAATTTCCACATCTGTATTTTCAAACGGCTTTAGCAATGAATTCCCATTCTCAACTAATTACCATGTTAGAATCTCAAGGAATATAAGAAACTTATTGATAGAATTTATTAGTTTGAATTGTTTTTTGAAGGTTTCAGTTGTACTTTATTTCTTCAATGGGCCATATTTTAATGGATACACAGCACTTTTACTTGGCATCAATTATGACTTCATTTAGAAATAATTTAGGTGTATCATATCAGCTGGCATGATTACTGACCTCTCCATTCCTTGGGGGTGACTGCCAACAGGGGAAAGGTTCTATTCTATTCCAATTGGTGCTGCTGTGTAAGTCCATGCAATACACTACATGGATACAGCATGTGGCTCCACCAGCTAATACACCATTGCCATATTTGTCATGGAAATCAGGTGTTTGTTTCCAGTGGCTCTGCCTTACTACCATTTGTTGAATGCTTCGAACTAGAAAATGATCTAATGCATTTTTGGCCAAAGGAAACATCGTGGAGTTGAAGTTAAAACTATAGTTACTGCAGCTGCTGGCTTGGTGCAAATTACTTGGATACCCTTGCAAAGAGCCTAGTTTGAATGTCTAACCTTTATTAATCAGGAACTAAAAACAATGAAGCTGACTACTAAATCTTCAAATCTTGAATCATAGGTTCATATGTAAGCTGCAGGATCAAATTTAATACTTTGTTTGCCCACTATATAGTAAATATGGGTAGTAAACTGCTGTTTTGTTTCAAAGTGACTTTGCTAACAATGTATTTCCGTTTCTTATCATAGAGAGACAAACCATGGTATATATATATGTGTTTGGAGATTTTTTGTTGTTTTTTAATTCCAAAACTAGGACATTGTAACACAATGGGTATTTTATTCATTGCTGATGTTACACACACCCCATTTGCAGGCCTGGTCCCCATAGGACTGCAATGCTGACTGTGGTCGGGGTTATGCATGGGCAGTCTGTGAGAGGTGGCCACGACTCTTCATCTCCATTTTACAGTCGTCTCCTACAGCCCCACCACATGAGAGGGACAGCTCCAGCACAGTTAAATGTAGTGGCACACCTGAGTTTGTATGTGGCATTTTGGTTTTATTTTTTCTTAGGACTCTGTCATAAAAAGACATCCACTCTGAAGAGCTACAGTGCAGCAACAGTTTGAAAACAGATTTATAAGGTTATCCACATTCCAAACAGAACCCATATGGTTAAATAAGCAGGTGTTCTAAATTTAGTAAGATAAATTCCTGTGAAATAACATTAATCTTAAAAGAGCTTGTTGAGTCAGATCTTTAAGATAATACAAAAATGAATGATAAATAAACTACTATTTTTTCTTTACTCTTGTCCCCGATAGGTGCGGTTTGCAGCCTTGATTACTGTGCTGGCACTGGCTGAAAAACTAAAGGAGAATTATATTGTTCTTCTCCCAGAATCCATTCCTTTCCTGGCAGAACTGATGGAAGGTAATCTCCCAACATTAAAAAATAATTACAGTACAGTTTTGTGGATGTGTGTCTGGGTGACAACTGTGGATGAAGTGTGTTGTCAGCAGGTCTAGTCCTACCACCACCCAGTATGGGCAGGTTGGGGACACGACCTCACTGTCCTCCAAATTCTTTTTTACAGTATGTTTATCACTGTATTCCTGTGGGGTTCTGTGCTCAGATAGACTACAATATTGTTTTTCTTAATCTCATACATTTATGTATGATAATATGTAACCTAGATGTGGGGTTATTGTATCAGTGTCTAGTGTCATGAAGGACGCAGTTGGGTGTCCATAGTGCTCTGTTAGGTAATTGTACGGGTGGTCTCACTGCAGCCTCCCATTGGGATAAACATCATTGTTCATATTGTACAAAGGAAGAACTAGAGGCTTAGAAAGTGTGGATAGTTTGATAACAATAGCAAAGCTAGTGAGTGTGACAGGTACAGCTAGATGGCTGGTGTAAACAGCCACCTTTGTGCTGCACTGGGGCCTGCACCTCACTGCTCTTGTCCCTAAGCAAAAGAGACCTGACATTAACAGTGTCCTAGGCAGAAAGTGGCTTCCATTGGGGTCTGACTGCTGCAAGGGCATATGTGCTTGTAAAGGAGCAGCACCCTGAATGGGGTTTGGATATGTCCACCTCTGCCCAGGGCGGTCTCTGCCAAGGCCATGCTATGAAGAAGGCTGAAAGTAGAGGGAAGAAGGAGGTGTGTGTTCTGCCCTGGTTCCCTGGCTGTGCTCCTGGGATTGGGTACCAGAGGGCTTGGGACACTGAACCAGACCTGGGGGAACTGAGGCAAGATGACTGATAACCCAGGTTTTAATTCGGGGTTTTTTTTTTTTTCTTTTTTAGATGAATGTGAAGAAGTGGAACACCAGTGCCAAAAGACTATTCAACAGCTGGAGGTCACACTGGGGGAACCTCTCCAGAGCTACTTCTGAAACTTCCTTTGGAGGGCCAAACTCTGTTGAACAGAGTTCAAATTTATTATTGCTATTATTTTTAATATTTTTGTTTTAGGGTGTTTGGTGCCATGTTACTTTTGGTGCCTTCACACCTGCTGGGCCTACCTACAGATATTTAATGACTGCTTTATACCAGATCCCTGTAAGCCTTTCCTGCCATTTGTACAGAGTTGCTAAAGAATAAACAAAAAGTGGTGTCTTTATACAAACAGCTGTTTGCGAAGCATTTGTCCTTACCTTTTTCTGAATGTTACCAGTGGGCCAGACATGAATAACTGGAGCAGCCAGAGCTGACCATGCCTGTAGATGTGACGCTATATCATGTACATGAAGTTTCATGTGTGACTAGGTTGGAGGCTCCCTGTCCACCTGAAGGAGATGGCAGCCATTGTGTCAACACAAATCTTCTGACTAAAGCTGTTTGTACTTTTCATGTTGAATAGGCTGACCCTTCAGCCTGTTTGTGCGTGTGTGTCCATAGAGGAAGAGATTCTGGAATGCATTTTTACCCCAGCTGTGACTATCTTCTTTATCCCTTAATCTTCAAGGAGGTAAGAGGAAGGTGACCCATACCTACCTTGTTGATCACCTACAGAAAAAGCCTAGAAATAATCACTGGTCCCAGCAAGTGAAAATAATCCCATTTCCACTGGTCTTTTACCCAGAGGACCTTGGAGAAAGTATCACTGCATTTTTTAAAAGGTTTTCAAGTTCTGTAGTCTACTGAAGCTATAAATTGAGGGCTGAAATAAATTTGCCTTCATTTTTTAGGTGCATATGAAGAAGTGGAACACCAGTGGCAGATCATTCAACAGCTGCAGGTCACACTGGGGGAGCCTCTCCAGAGCCACTTTTGAAACTTCCTTTGGAGGGCCAAACTCTGTTGCGAATTCAATTTTTGTTTTGTTTTGTTTTAGGGTGTTTGGTGCCATGTTAGTGAGGAACTATCCCAAGTGTTAACGGTTTAGATCTAAAGTGTTCCCCAAAAGCCTCCTAGGTTTGGCACATGATTGGATCCAGAAGGTCCTATATTCACTGGTGATGGATCCACGTCGTAGCTGTCTACGGCCTGGAAGGGCTCCTCGTTCCTTCTGCCTTCTGGCCACCCTGTGCTGAGCAGTTTTCCGCTGGATGCCTTTCAGCCACTATGGACCGAAACTGCCAAAACCGACCTCTGCTTTTAAATTGTGGGTGTTCAGTATTTTGTCCGAGCAATAAGAAAGTCACTAAGCACCACAGAATGTTCACAATGAGTCACCTTTGATCTCATTTAATATGGAAATTTAGAGCAGAATTATACAAAGCAAAAGGCCAATTATGAGATAAAGCTTGCTATAAATAGTTCTATTTAAGTATATTGATAAAGTTCATTAGTAAACTAATAGCCTTTTTAAAAAAGAAGCTTAAGGTTTATATCTTTTCTATCAAAGAATTGGTCTAATAGCTCCATATAAAACAAAAATGGAAAGAAATTTTTAAACATTTAAGGGACCAGTTTGAGGAGGCTTTTTCCTATGTGCCTTTTGGTCTGCAGTGTCTCAGTTGTGCATTCTGCTGCTCTTTATGAAGAGGAAATAACCTTGGGGGTTTCTTGAACTTCTTGCCTTCTACAGCTACTATCCCCCCACTCCTGCACAAACACACACACATCCATGTCCTCTTGAGTCTTGCAATATTAACATGAAAGAAGGGCTAGCTGTTTCCACAGAGTACGTTGTTAAAAATCAAGATTGATAATGGTATGCTTTTTAATATGGATACAAATAATATCTACCCAAATCTGTTGTGACTGTTAATGTGATAAAATGATCTGACCGATTTAGCTTATTTTCCGCAGGCCTGAACCTTTGAAATCTGTAACAAGATCTGACCTGTAAAGATTCTGCATGGAACTTCTGCCAACTTGCTTCACATAATAGAAACATTACAGAAATGCAACGGTTTAACTTGCTGATACAGGTTTGATTTTAATCACTTAAAGCAGAACAGTGTTTTGATCTCACTGCTACTGCTGGACTAATCTTCAGAAGAGCAGAGGTGAGTGTTGGTTTGCATGCAAACGTTTTTAGGCTGCCTCTGCCTTCTTTCATTGGTCTCTCATCGGTAGGTTTTGCTTTCTCATGGTGCCTGTTCACTACTCGTTTGGCATTACTTCATTGCCCACAAATATAACAACAGACTGAATCACCGGGCCTCTCCTCACACTCAGGCCTATGCCTCGAAGCTCTGGGAATCAGAAACCAATAGCTCAACACGGAGTCAACACCATGGGGTTGGTTTTGGTTGGCTCCTTGTTTTGTTTTTGGCCTTAACTTTTCTGCTGTGCTGAAATGTCATATACATGATAATTATTTGGTAGGACCTACAGCAAGAAAAGCTGCATGTTTATTAACTACAGATTCACTAGCAGATGAAAGTCTGCATCAGTCCTCTTGATTAGGACATGATAGAATGCTCACTGTAAAAGGAGTCCCTGGGGAAGGAGTGGTATCTTTGGGAAGTTAGTATTTTATGTGACTGAACAGCTGCATAACCCTTAAACCAGTGGTCCCAACGTGTCAGCACATGGTGGTGCCTGAGAAGACGGACACTGCCTCTGCACCACTGGCTCTGCACCGGCTTTGCACCACCATGTGTGCATGCCTGCTTCCAGCACGGTGCTGACAAAACACATGCTTGAGGCCAGCTAGTGGCTTTGTTACAGTAGGCACTTACTAAATTCTTCAGTGTGGTTTTGAAAGGCCATGGGGGAGAAAGCAGGCATCTCATTGGCTGCAAGTGGCTACTGCCTGAGATTTCCCCCTTAGGCCACTGGAAGGGACAACAGCTGGACTTAATGCTACACAAGTGCAATTTAAGTAAGGCGGTAACAGTGAGGTGCATTTCGATATAGCTGGGATTACACAGTCATTCTGTATTTCGGGTTTGTAGCACGCCTGATGGTTACCAGCTCCTGACTTCCAGTAAGTGGATATCACCATTGATGGCCACCGTGTCAATGCTGCCCAGGTCCCGAAATCTGTGCTTGTACTCCAGGCTGTGTGCTCCATTGATGGCAACCTTGAAATCTCTAGTATCACAATAAATTATCATCTGGAAGGAAAGGAAACACACATTGTGGTTTCCCTTGGCGTACAGTTTTTGTTGCACACTTAAGAGATCAAAAGGAAAACCACTTGGTGTGAGTTCTGCCAGAGAAGCTCTCCCTGCTGCTGCAGCCCACTTCCCTTCTGTGATTTCAAGACCTGAATCAACCAAATACTGGGGTGGCACCTTCTGCCTGGATACACTCAAAGAACTGCTCACAAGCGTGGAACCCCCGCCCCGCCCCAGGCCTGCTGAGCCTCCTTTTCCCTGGCACACCCCCTCTGGACCCCACTCCTGACAAAACAGGAAACCACCCACGTGATGTTTGCGAATGAGGAGACAGCAAAAACTGCTGACATCCTGACCTTCATTCACTGAGAAACTGATTTCAACTAGTAATTTAGGAGCCATTGGGCTGGGATCCTGATTTTGCTGCCTCAAACTCTAGGACCATATAAATAGGGAGGGAATCTGAGCAGCTCAAGGGACTCAGGATTGCACATCTGCTAGGTGATCCTGCTGCTGTCCTTGACTAGCACATGTGGCCTCAGCCTGTTAAAAGGTGTCTGAAGATGAGCCCGTGTATCTACAGAGCAATTCGAATTCTGCCAGACTCATCACAGGTGTGAGCCCTTTGGAGTACTCCATCTAAAAGTACAGTGGACCTCTGAAATTTGTGGGGGCTATGTTCCTAGAGTAGGTATAAATTGTGAAAAATCATAAATGTTAGATATGATCAGAAAAGTGACTATGACGCTACTGCAGCATAACTTTAGTTGCCAGAGCGAACCCAGTTGTTTGACCTTTTTGTGGAGTGTCTTAACTTTCTCATGATTAGGTTCATTCCCAGAAGCCTTTGAAGGTATATAAAGCACTGTGGCAACATCTTCGGGCTTTAAGAACAACAAAACCAAAAACATTCAAGATAGCTACATGCTAGAGTGTGCCTAAGGAGAGTCACATGGAGAGAAAACATTCTCTCAGGCTTTCACAGAGAGCACACTGGCCAAGCAATGGCCGTGACTCATCCACATGGCTGACACTGACAAAGGCTCTACAATCTGAGATACAGGATCTCAGAATAAATCCTGGGGGGATTTCACTGACCTTATCAGACCCAAAAGTTACAGCTCTTGTTGCATAGGTCCTGCTTTACTTTGGTCTTAACCATCCATCAGAAAAGTATAAAAACGAAATATAAGAAGTAAAGCCATGCTGTTATGTTGAGCTGTAGGGGACTCAGGTCAACAATTTCTGACATTGCCAGTTAAGCAGAAGACCCAATACT